GATATCACTGGTCCCAGATTAGAAATTTCCATTTACTACGAGACTGCGCTTGAAAATTCAAAACTCGTTGGCAATATTTCTCTACCTCTCTTGAAGGTAACCAGCGCATTTGTACCAGTGATAAATTAATCTTACAATTTATTATTTTTTTAAAAACTTAAGATTCAAAACCGAACTCGCAAATGGTTTGTTCTGCAGCACAAATCGAAGGATGCAATAAAAGGCAAAATTTTCCTCGAATTTGAAATATCTTACAATCCCATTAAAGCGGCACTAAAGACCATCTTCACGCCGAAAGAAATCAACAAAGCCCTTGAAGATGGAAAAATCCGCTTCAACAAAACCCATTTTCTTCGCAATGTGATTCGCCTGAAGCATATTCTCTTGGAGTTTCTCGAGTCGGCCAAGTTTTTTAAGTCCTGCCTCGAGTGGGACTGTCCCATTCGCACACTCACTGGTCTCAGCTTTGTTCTCATTTTTATCTACTACATTGAGTGGTACATGTTACCGCTGACGCTGCTCTTGATTATGCTGCGAAACTTTGTGATGATGAGTATGAATCAAAACTACTTTGAGCAGACAGAAAATGATAACCTGATTGCTGAAAATAAATTTAAATCAGACAAGTTTCACGAGAAAATTGACCAAACGGTGAACTTTCTTATCAACACACTTCTCGAGAACTCCTCGTTCATCGATAGAATAGAGAAGTAAGTCCATGGTGAACCATTCAATCAGTAGAAGTGCACAATTTAAAATTGTTTTCTCCTATGTAGCCTATTCAACTTTACAGTCCCATTTCTTTCCTGGGTTTTCATAGTGGCCCTGGCTGGCTCCACAGTATGCTACTACTTCATATCAATGAGACTCGTCATCATGGCTTTTGTCATCAATGAGTTCACTAAAGAGTTTCGCAAAGTACACAGTTGCAGCCACATTCTCTGTAATAATGAGTTTTATAATTTCTTTTCTCGAGTGCCTGACATGGATGAGATTAACGGGTAAAATATTCTAGTCAACCAATCAACCAATAAACCTACTCTGTCAAATATAATGCTCAAACTGGTTATTTGCTGAAGTTGTTTTTTATTTGTCTGGAGGAAGGTAAACAAGAATCCGTTTCAAGTATTTGGGTCAAGGTCATTTATGTTCATTGTCAAACTGGACTTTAATTTTTAGAAATGTGACACAGTACAACTTTGGTATTATTCTCTAAGCAGCTATTGCATAGCAACAGTTTAAACTCCACAAAAAAGCGATAACTGCAGCAGTACTGATTAAAGTGGAAATAAATCGAGAGATGATAGAAACATGTGCAATGCACGCAATATCGAGTGGTCCATAAGTGAATAGGGCAAACGCAGTACAGCGGCTAGTCATAAAAGAAAGACTTTTTAAAAGCACACTGTGCGGCAGTGTAGCAGCAGCAGCAGCAGTGCACCAGTGTGAGTCACTAACACAAGACAATGCTCATTTCGGTGTAAGGCTGCAGCCCCGCTGCACCTACCAACGCCACAACATCGCTTGCGACAACGTTTGGAAATCGTCGGTAAGCAAGTGCTCCTCACTTCTCCGCTAACTCGATTTATTTCCCTTTTAGATCTCTTTTACGAAAGCTAGTCTGTCCACTCCTTCCCGTGTTACCGCCAATTTTACCTGAGCTTTTTTACTTTTAAAAAACTGAAATTTTACAAAATGAACATCAACCAGCTTCCAGACTTGATTTTACGTACTATTTTTTCGAAACTTCCGCTTCGAGACTTGCTGCGGATTAACCTCGTCTGCTCTCACTGGAAGTGCCTTCAGCCTGCCGTTACTTGTGGCGTTAAAAAAGTTGTCATTCTCATTGGCGATGAGGCGATCAATCTGCTCAACGAGTTTCGTTTTGAAACTCCTCACTTTGACGAACTCGAAGGGGAGTCAAAAGTACCCAAGTTGAGCCTTGACAGCTTTGAAGTGCTCGATTTCGATTGGTTGGACAGGAGTTCGTCCAAATTCCTCATTGAACTTTTGCCAAAAATTACCAATGCGCAGATTGCTGTCCGAAATGTTCAGCCCACTACATCGATTGGCGAAAAGTCGTGGGGAATCAAATCAGTAGCATTGGAGCAGATGATCGAACTTCTCACTCAATGGGAAAAAAGCTTGAAAAGTTTGAAAATTTGCTTAAATTTTACCGACTACTATCAGCAAGAATGCCTTGAGAGAGACATGCCTCGACTACTGAAGTGCCTTAACTCGCTGCAAGCTATTCAGAACTTGGCCTTAAACTTGCAGAATTGTTTTTTCTACGAGTCGACCAAATCTCCGTTGGACATGCCTTTCTTGGCAAAACTTGAAACTTTCTATCTTTCAATGCAAGACAGCAATGAGCTGATATACGATTCGCTAATCAAATACGCCCTTCCAAACACGAATTTGCGAGAAATTGGCCTTAACAACATCTACGATACGGACATTTCTCATAGCTTCTTTACCAACGTTAACAACTTGAAGTTTTATCAGAGGATATACCAGTTGCCGTGCCTGAACTTTTCCGAGCCCAGTGAGGCAATGAGGATCTTTTGCGAACGCTACTGCAACTTGAAAAGAATTTCCATCACCATTAGAAATCTGCCCAGCATTTACAAAATGACACGGCACCTTCGACCGCTAAAGTCGCTAGTCTACCTAGATATTGACGTCAGCTTTGATGAGGAGCATGGTCTGGTTAACGATCCTGACGCTGAGTTGGAGATGATGCGAGCCGTTCCAGTTTTGCCACCGGTAAAGATTCTAAACGTCTACGCACCACTTCATAAGCACACTGATCTCTATGAAATTCAGTGGCATGTAATGTTGCCAAACTTGGAGGTGCTTCACTATCATGATGGATGGTCAGATTGTCAAATCTGTATGCCCAGACAGGATTCGGATAATGAAGAGGAGGATGTAGAGGAGAATAATGCTCCAAATGAGGATGCTGCAAACGGAGATGCTGCAAACGGAGATGCTGCAAACGGAAATGTTGCAAACGGAGATGTTGCAAACGAGGGTGCTGCAAACGAAGATGCTCTTGAAGTTGAAAATCCAGTTGAGGAAAACCTAGCTAATGCTGATCATCCCAATGCTCCTGATGCTGATTTAGACAATAACAATCAGGGTTCTTTGGAAATAAATGAGGTTTTGGATGAAAATAATGACATCATAAACCCTCAGCCTGAAAACGAAGTGCACGAAAACGAAGGGCAAAGAGCGGAGGAAGAAATTGATTTGGAAGAAAATCTTAACTTGGACTTGTTATTTGGAGATGAAAACGAACACACAGAAGAAGAAGAAGATGCGGATGAGGACCAAGAAGAAGTGACTCGACAAAAGTGCCTACGTCTCTCTATTCAACCATGGCGTTTCTGTGATAAACTTCGCAAGGTGTACACTGGCGACAATGACGAACCTAAGTGTTGGCAGCTTGAAGAATTGTTTAAAGATGATTAGCCTAATTTTGTAATAGGATATCAAATTGTAAAGCCTCCGTTTTTGCTGATTTTATTAATTCATTATTTATGCATAAAAATTACTTTTATAATTATATTTTTGTTCACTAAACCAAGTTAGGTTTATTTTTTTCTATCACCAAGACTTTGATGAAGATAAAAATAATCTTGTTTATCCTCTTTCTCAATGCACTCTCCTTTGCTTCAAACAATAAATAAAACTTTAACAGCTCTACCATCTGCCTGCCAATTGATAGTTGACTGCCAAAATCACTTAGCGACCACCACTTGAGAAGTTTCCGAAACGGCAGCCAACGACGCACTTTGAATTGAAGCAATCACACTAAAAGCATAAGATGTCTCGGATTACAATTTGTCTTCAGTTATTGCTGGCGTTGACTACCTTTCTTGTTTTTCTTCAGCATTCTGCACGAGCTCAATCTTCGCAGCCCCTTTCTTGCCAAACCGATGCCGACTGTCAGAAGCAAAGCAACCACTCCAAATGCAGTCCCAAACATGAATGCATCTGTACACTAGGATTCCTGCCCAATAACAGCTCCTGCGTCCAGGCAAAGTGCTCTAACACCAGTGACTGCACTGCTCACTTTGCAAACACCACCTGCAGTACCGCACAGTCACCAAATGCTTCAATTTGCATCTGTGATTCAGTGCACTACCTTGATGATGCAACTCAGAGCTGCTTACCTGTGGACTCCCAATCTGGTGGCTACTGGTGGATCGGAATTGTCATCGGCGTGTTCTTAATAATACTTCTTGCAGCTGTTTGCTTTTTGAACCAGTACAAGTCAAGAAGAGCAGATGCAAGCAGACTTTTAGGTTCAAATGATGAGCATCAGGAAAATATTCGTCAAGATTATAATACAATTAGAGAGGGTGGTGCAGAATAAAAACAAATTATATGTTTAAACTTTTTTATTTGTAAAGTTTGTCAAAAAAAATCAAAAATTAAAATCATGTCTTTTACTTGCAAACAGTAGGGCCTACTGGATTGTACAGTCGCAAAACCCAGCAATTTCCTTTGTCATATTTGACGTCGCATTTCACCCAGCTTCTATGGCTATGTGTGACACTGCATGTACATGTGCCATTTTTTGGCAGTTCATTGTCATTACATTGATTATAAGCAGCTGCGAGAAAAGTTGCTTGTAAAAGCAACAGCAACATCACAACAGCAATTAGGGATACACTTTGAAACTTGATCTGAAAAAAATAGTATATTAAATTGAGATACTTTTTAAAATCTATTTTTACCTTCATACTGAAATAAATTTTATTAAATAATCTTTGCGTTGAGAAAAATAATGCGCAACATTTAATGTTTTTAAACTTGTTAATAAGTAAAGTGTTTTATCAGTAGTTTTTAATTACAAACTATTGATAATTTATATAGCATGAAATAGAGTCTAAAAAATAAAAATAAACTAAATTGACAGTAAAATGTGGAAAAGGTTTTTAGGTAAACTTTGTGTTTAAATGTTAACCGGTTCTTGAATACAAATTTTGCACTCATTGTCTATTGTCGTCGATCACCATTTGTGCGCCATACTCTCCTATCATGTAGGCAGCGGCTAGTGTTTCCGAATTAGGAATTTCTGGAATTATGGACACATCGATAATTCTCAGTCGGTCAACTCCCTTCACCCTAAGTTTTTCGTCGACTACCGTATCATCACGACTGACAGCTCCCATTCTACAGGTGCCAACTTGGTGTCGACCTTCTCGACCAATCTGTCGAACAATGCACTGAACGTAATCATGGCACAAATAAAGCGGAATTTCTGAGCAGTAAAACTTCTCGCAGCCAGGAACTGGCATTGAAACGGGTTTTGCATATTTGGCAAATTCTGTTTCTTGAGTTAGGTAGAAGAGCATTTCTGTAAGTTTGTTTAATGACATCTGATCTCGTTGATCGGCGAGATAGTTTGGATCAATTAGCGGATATCCTTTAGGATCAGTACTGGTGAGTCGCATTGTTCCACGGCTGTATGGTCTCATCAAAGCTGAAGTCAAAGCCAGAACAGTTTTACCGGCAATTGGCGCAAAGTATTGTCGCCATTGATTTTGCATTGTCGAGGGAAATGGAAGCACTAGTTCGGATAAATTGCTAGAGAGGGTCATAGTTTGTGCACTAATGATGCCGTTTGGCACCTGAGGTTCAGCGTTTCCAGGAACACTAAAATATGCAACCAAATGGGGATTTTCTGTTAATGGTCCTGAATTAGTGGCGTAGAACTGATATAATTGCTGCACTGTTGGGCCAACTGGATCATTTAGTAAAGAATTGTTTACAATCTCATAGAAATGTGTTACAGCTGGGTGGTCTTGCACGTTGTTGCCAACGGGAAGGTCAGCTAAAACTGAAATATTAAAAGATCTCAAATGATCAGAAGGTCCAACACCAGAAAGCATTAAGAGAACTGCATCTCCATAGGTTGATAAACTGGCAATAACTTCTCGTCTGGCATTCACACTTTTTTTAACTCCATCCTGGTCGTAAGACACGCCAATTGCTCTTCGCCCATCAAAGAGAACGTACCCCACAAAAACATTTGATAAAATGTGCAGATTTTCCGGATAAGGGTTTGGATCAAGGAACGCCGTAGCTGAGCTATATCGAACTCCATCTGCTGTAATTTGGTACATTGCTGTTCCAAGTTGTGTTGGTCCGTTTATGTCCACTGTTGGAATGCCCATAACGTTGAATTGATGTTGTAGTTTTGTCAAAATTAAATCAGGATTTTTTATGCTGGAAACTTTCAAAGGTCCTGTAGTACTATGATAGAAAGGATTACCGTCAACAATTTGAGGCGATGTATTATTTTCAGATCGAAGAAAGTACGGCAGAACAGTGTTGAAATTCCAACCAGTTGCTCCGTAAACATTAGCCCAGCGATCGTAAATGCTGCGGTGACCTCTGCTGTACAGTAAGTCACCGATGGTTGATGAGCCACCGAGGACATCGCCTTCAGCCGACCCTAAAATTGCCCCGTTGTAGCCTAGTCCCATGTTACGCTGAGCCACTGTTACTCCTGGCCAGATGTAATTTTCTGTTTTCATAGTTGATCCAAACGCTGGAATGTCAGTAGCCACATCTTGTGAAGTTCCGCCTTCAAGTAAAAGCACTGAAAAGTTTTGAGCAGCTAATCGGTTGGCTACAACAGCACCAGAAGTTCCAGCACCTTTGTAAAAACAGTTAGTTACACACTAGTTTTTTCACTAAAAACATTACCGCAAATAACAAAGTCGTAGGCTGAGTTGTATTGTCGACGAGCAACACTTCTGTTGTGGAGAATTTGCCGCTGAAGACTAATTACCGAAATGGTGATCAATTGAGCTGATAATGAAATTCCACTGACAGACATTGTTGCTAGTAGCTATTTAGTTATTTGGCAACATCTAACGAATAAAAACAATACAATCTCGTTTTTATATAAGCAGACAACTTTTTAAAATTTGCAATTTAAATTTTACAACCCGTATACTTAAGGACTACAATAATCAAAATAAAATTTTTTGTTTTTGCTGGTATGTGGTTTACTAGACCATTTTCAGTGGCATTTCCTTTGTTTCAATCTGAGTAAAAACATTTAAAAGAAAATGACAAAGTTGATCGAGTTTTTTTCGTTATTGATATTAATCTAGAAAAAATATATGAGTAATACAAAACTAATAGCAATTTTTTTATTTGGTCAATCGGGTTTTTATTACTATTCAAATTGAAAACCTTGAAATCTATTTATTTAAATTTATATATTTTTAAGATTAGCCTACTTTAGTCGATAAACTTTGTAATACTGTTTTTTGCTTATTTAAAATGAAATTGTGTTTTTATACTTTTCTATCTTACTCTTTATTATTTCTCACCTTTTGTGATGACATTCCAATTGGTCCAGGAGGCTGTTCAGTTATCTACGAAAACATTCTTTTGGAACTTATAAACAGTGTTCGCGCCAAACATGGCGCACAACCACTAATAACGTCTTCACAAATGCAAAAATTTAGCCAAAACTGGGCAGTTTTTCTAGCTGACAGAGACATTGTCACACCTCAGCACAGTCCTCGCTATTTTAGTGATCTTGTGTACAAAAATGAAGCCGTTTTTAACAGCACTAATTATCTGGTATACCCAGAAGACGCCTTCAAAGCTTGGACCGCTGATGAAATTAAGTATCCCTTTTATGGCCAAGAAAATATGGAGCAACAACATCGCTGGTTGACTATTTCTCAACTTCTTTGGCGTCAAAGTCAGCAAATTGGCATCGGCTGCGCTCTCGGTTGGAGCAAAACAAAACCTGGCAAAAAAAATTATTTTGTTGTGGCCACCTTTTCACCTCCGGGAAATCAAGTATGCGAATACAAACGAAACGTGTGGCCACTATTGACTAGTGATTTGTATAGCAAGTTGAACAAAAATCCTAATTGGTTTAAAACTCCTGACAAAATTTGCGTTCCAAAAAGAGTGATTAAACAAGTTAAAAAATGTCCACAAAAATTTCAAAAGGAACTACTGAAACAAATAAATGATTTGAGATATAATCACGGAACTAACCCATTGATTAGTGATGAGAAAATTACTCGGAATTCTCAGAAATATGCAAACTTTTTGGCAGATCGCGGGGGCTACAAAATGCATAATCCCAATAATGAGTATCATTATGATCTGATTGATGTTGAGGTAAATAAAATTTCATTGAATTTTGTTCGACTAAACTGATTAATTTATAGATTTTGCAAAATAAATCTGGTCAGATTGAAGATTTTGTAATCTCGGGCAACCTCACTTTTAGTAAATTAGTCATCGAACTTTTTAATTACACATACTATGGCAAAGAGCCTCCAGAGCAAGAGCGATATCGTTTTGCAGAAGTTACTCAACTTCTTTGGGCTTCTACTAAAAAAGTTGGAATTGGGTGCGCCTACTCAAATGAAAAAAATATTGTTGTACTCAACTTTAGTCCTTATGGTAATAATCCTTGCGAGTATAAAGTCAATGTTTTACCTCCAAAAACTGATCCTATGTACAAAGAATTAGTTAAACCTAATGTTTTTCCAGATCCTAAATGCATTGTCAAATCGTTGAACCAAAAAACGCTAACCTAAGTTTTTAATAAAATACAAAGCAAAAGTTTTAGGCATTACAGACACAACATTAAATAGTTTTAAAATATTTTTTGTAACCCAAACTATTTTCAAATTTTTTTAAAATTTTATTTTAAACATTTTAAAAAAACCTTGAAAAATATTTTTAGAAAATAGTTTCTAGTAAACATCCAACTTTGTTCTAAAAACAACTATAATGAGTTTTTCAAAAAAACCAATTTTTACCTTTGGTATTGTTTTTTTGACTATTTTTCTAAAAAAACAAAAATCTATTTTTCTAAAGATTTAGATAATAATTAAAACAAGGATAACAAATTTGTCAATGACTAATTTAATAATAATTTTATTTTTAGTTAAAACTAATATAATATAATTCAAACAATTATACCAAAAATCAAGTTTCAAAAAATTTGATTTTTTGTTAATTTTTTAAATGTCAAAAGTGCAAACATAAATCATTTTTATTTAAATGTCACATGTTTAATTAATTTTCTCAGACAATTTAAATAGTTAATAATCTGGAAAATAATTTTCTTTAATAATTTTTAAATATTTTTGTATAAAATGTTAAAGTTAAAAATAGTTTCCCAATCATTATGGTTTTTATTTTTGTGTTATATTGAAATGTAAATAAAAATTAAAATGAATCATTTAGTTATTTTAACAATTTTATTTTTGGCGTTGCTTACAAACTTGACACAGTGCCAAGCCAATTTTATGGAGCAATTTCAAAATGCTTTTAATTCAGCTGAAACTAAAGTTGAAAAATTTGTGAATGATGGAAGCCAAGTTGTTAATTTTGTCAACAAAACTAATAATGCGGCTAAAAGTTTTTACAGTGGATGGTTTTTATAAAAATAACAAATTTAAAAAAATTTAATAAATGTAATTTTTATTACTACAAAATTAATTAAAATAAATATTTATTTTTAAACTGTTTTTTCTAACTGTTTATTTTCTTGCTAATTATGTAGTAAGGTCGTTTTAAACACATGCTCAAATACGTATATATTTGCATTTGTTTATAATTTGTTTTTAAATTTTTTTTAAAAATGGCCAAGCATTTTAGTTTGTTGTTTATTATATACATTTTTACAAAAGTTGTACTTTCAACAGCTGAAGTGGTAAATTGAAATGATGTTAAAATTTTATATAACAATTATGCGGTTTTTAGGAACAAACAAACATTGTCATTGACTTTAAAGACAAAGAAAATTGGGCTGACAAACTTAAAGAAGGAATATGTCCAGATGAACTGAAAGAAGCAATAGTTGATTTTATAAACAATTATCGAAAAAACAACAATGCAGATAAAGTTACTGAAATGAGTAGTTTTACAGACGTACAAAACTGGGCAAAATTTTTAAGTGAAAAACCTGTTTCAATGCATAATTTGGACTCTAAATTTATAAACACTTATGGAAGAGATATAGTAATTACCGGCAATTGGAAGTTTGGCACTCAATCAACTTATCTTGCTCCAGTGGTCAGTTTTCCATATTTTTTAGACTCAACAATAGAAAACTATAAAAAAGCTTTTAATACATTTTACGAAAAACACAAAGATGATTTTAAAAACAAGGAAAATAATATAATTGATATTGGCGAAATTCAAACATTTGATGTGTTCACTCGATTGATTTGGTCAAACAGCCAAGAATATTCTGTTGGTTGTTCAGGAAAAGCAACAGATAGTGAATCTTGGCTTCACATCGTTATTGTTTTAAACAAAAAAGTTGGAAATGCAAACCAAGATGGTGACAATCTTCGTCCAGCAAGCTATAAAGATTTTAAAGAAAATGTTAAGTTACCTTAAAATTAGTTAATGTATATAAAAAACAATTAAATTGTGAATTTAACAAAACCAATTTTTTATGTTTAAACTGATTTTTTGTACAAACATTTAAAATGTTTTCGCCTGTTTGAATGTTTTTCAAAATCTAAATTGTGCTAGACGCAACAGCAATTACCCTTAAAAAAATAAATAAAAACAAATAAACAATCAACAGCAAACAATTTTTCAAAAATTTTTTAAAAAGGGAAAATTGTTATAAGATTTTGTTTTTTCCAGTAATACTTATTAATTCAATATCTGATAGTGCAAAAAATTTGAAAAATAAAATAATTTTTGTTTGTTTTTACTAAATTTTTTAAAATATAAATAAATTAATTAAATAAATTTTTAAATGACAGAAAATTACAACGAAAACATTTTAGAAACGGACAGTTTAAAATAACAGTAATTTGCATTTTAAAATTTATAAAAACTTTTGCTTTTTTAAACCAAAAGCAAAGTTTGAAGGTTAAAGATTTAATGTAACAATTAAAATATATATAAATATAAATTTTGAACCACCAGTTCAATTCCACCAGTCAAACATTTGCTATAATGATTTTATCGTTAATACCAGCTATTTTATTATATCAAATTGGATTCATTGCTGGTGAATTGCCATCGGTAACTTAATTAATTGTTTTAAAAAACAAACAATACAATATTTTATTTTAGATGATTCCAATTACAGTCAACTCTTCATCTTGCAGTAATGAGCTCATTAACGGAATGCTAGAGTCACTTAACCAAATACGATCTCAACACAAAGCTCCTGAACTTCAACTTGATATAACTATAAGTATGGTCAGTCAAACCTGGGCACAACACCTCTTTGAAACGGGCGGATATGACCATGATCCCTCTGTCAACTCATCAAACTACGGCAAAGATGTGCTTCTGATGGGAGATTTTAAAGTCGATACACTGGATCCATCTTTTGCACCCATGATCAATTTTCCAGGATATTTATTAAGTACGTTGGAAGAATTTGGAATAAATAGTTACCCATATTATGGAACAGAACCGCCTGAAAGTGAAAAGACTAAATATGAACCTTTTACTGCTGTTATTTGGAAATCTTCAGAAAAAGTGGGAATTGGTTGCTCGTCTAAGTACGTTAGTAAAACTTTTACAACAGTAAATTTTGTAGTAAACTTGTCGCCAATGGGTAATGTTAAAGACCAATATGCATCTAATGTACTGAATTCTTAATTACGTGACAATAATTGCACAATAAAAACTAATACTATGCCGCAACTTTTTAATTAAATAATAAACTTTGCCAGTATTAAAAAACGCAGTAACAAAAAAATTTTGAAATAATTTTACATGCTAAAAGTTTAATTTATTTAACCTTAACTAAAATAAAAATAAAAGTTCAGTACTCTAATGCAAAATGAAATACCAATCTTATTTGAAGGTCAATTAGTTAGACTGATATTTCATTAATAATGCGCCATTTAAAGTGAGCTATCAAAAAGAGTATTTATATGCAAATATATAAAATATTGGCATATTTATAATCATTTTGTGCTTTTAGTGTATTTCTAATGTTTTAAAATGAAAACAATTTTTATTTTTAGTTTTTTTGTAGCATCAATTTTTGCAGCAATCAGTTTACCGCCCGAATATAGCAAAAAACTTTTAACTGATGATGCTGCATATTTAAAAGCTGTTGATCAATTTATTCCTGATATTAAAAAAGAACTAAACGATGCACTGCAAGGAGAGAACTACGAGCTTGTTCTTAAGGAAGTTGCCGAAAAACCGAATTCTAATGAAGACAAAAGTTATGCGGCTCTTTACAAAGCTGAGATTCCTAACTACCCGAAAATTAATGCTCTATGTCTTGCCAAAGTTGATATAACAGGACCCAAGTTTCTCAAAGAAATGTCATATAACCTTAATTGTACAGTTGAAACTTCTAAGTAATAAAAACAATGGTTTAAGATAATAAATACTTGAAATTGCATTACTTATTTCACTGCATCGTTGCAGCCCAGCGCAGAGAGGTGACTTGACGTGACTTGGTCATTGTCAACGTCCGTTGACGAGGGTTTTACGAACGCAGCAAGCGGGACCAGAAAAATAAAATTTTCTGTATTAGGTTTCATTGTGACCAAGACACTTTTTTTATATCTTAAACAATGTTATTTATAAAGACAAAAAAGTGAGTGCACAAGAAAAAACATCATTTTTAAGGAAGTTTGATAATTCAGGTCCGTTCAGATGGTGGTTTCCAGTAAACAGCTGCTGTTGTAGCCGATGACATTAGTCGAAGAAGACATTAGTTGCAACAGTGTTTGGCTGGCGTTCTCTGCTGCCTCTCCTCATCACCGCTGCCGCATGCATTGCCAACTTGCATTCTGCATAGCAGAAAGTCTGGACACCGATTGGCCCTTGTCGGCATGACTGCTTTTAATCGTTGTTAATAGCTATTCTCATGACCGGTGAGAATGTACAAGTTGGAAGGGGAGTCAGTGTTGTAGCTCTCTTTACTGGGACGTGATTCAAGGACGATAGTCTGGTCAGCTCCAATAACCTTGAAACTTCGACTAGGATCAGTTATTTCTTGCACTATTTCATTATTGCTAAATGAACGGCCCTGCATGCCGTGATTGTGGAAAGCAAGCACACTATCTGGTAGGCACACTGCAAATAAAGATGCAATTTTTAGCTAAAAAGAGAGATTTCAAATTTATATTCAAATAAGTACCAGTAGAATTGATTTTAAAATCAAAGAGGAGTTCAGATGGCTGCGTCCGGCTAGATTTTAATCTGCCATTTAAATCAACCATTATAATGCGATCTGCAATACAATGAAAAGAAAGATGTAAAGAGGAGCAAGTAAAGAAGGTAAATAAGGAGAACATACTGTCATATGCGACCATAATGCTGTCGTCTTCCAGATGCTTAACGCTGACGGGGTTCAGTCCATTCTTATTGAACCTCGCAACGGGCACAACCGTCTCCGTGCCGTCGCCAAAGGCCTCCATGTCCAGTTCGTCATACTGAAGGTGGTGAGACTGAATCATTGAGTTGCTGCTGCTCTCCAGTGTGCCATCCTTGTCGAACCAAACTGCACCCGAGTGAACGTTCAAGTTGATCAAGGACAGCTCAACCTGAGAGGGATCAGAGGAGGTGCGCACGTCAGTGCACAGCATCGGATAGTCCATGCCAGGCGCAATGATCATTTCCAATAGCTTTAGCGGCTTGTTCGGCGGAATATAGTGATCAAAACTTTTGAGCAGCATAAACTTGTTGAGTGGATTGTAGAACTGCATCAGAAAGATAGAGTTGGGCGCTATACCGCAGAGATATTTGTAACCATTATAGGAATTTCGTCCGACACAGCACCGAATGGTTCCCTTGGTGTCAGGCACTCTGGTGGAGGCAGTCATGAACTTGCGAGGCATCAACTTCTCCGGAATTCGGTTGATCATTGAATCGACTGTCGACGGAAGACCGAATGTAAGGTTCTTCTTGGAGTACAGTTGAGCAATGTCGTGCCGGTACAGGTAGCTGGCTTTTCCAGATATCGACATTAGCACGTTCTTGATCACGTACATCCAGGTAGTCTTTCGCGGGTACAGCTGATCAAGAGTGGCGTCGTGAAGTTCGTTTAAATTCAAGCAGTAGATGCCCTCGTCACAACCTACAACAAAGGGAAATTGTAAGCAATTCCATCCTTAAAGAAGAATCATCAAACCTAAAAGAATATGCTGATCATGCGTGTCGGGGTGGACCCAGCTGGCGGCACAATGAACCTTAAGTGGGCACTCATTGAAGACCTTTGAGAAGCAGGCGCCCATGTGCACCTTCGGGGTAGGCGGCAGGCCATTGACTAATGACGTCTGGGGAGTCGTCGAGGAAATGTTGAGCACTGATGAGGCACGGGGCGTTTGCACACTACTACTGTCTACTGATTTGCGATTCCGTCGTTGTCGAGGGGGAACTTCGGGCGGACTTTTGTAATTCTCATCATCATCTTCATCCTCAGCAGCAGCAACCTTTAAAAGATTAAAAAGCAAATTGAGTTAAGATTCGGTTTGCATGCAATAGCGATCAATTCGAGACGCAACTTGAGATTGGAAATTAGCCGGCAGCGGAGGGGCTGGTGGCGGGGGAGGATTATTTGCATAGTTGCCACTCAAGTCATCCTCCTCCTCGTCGTTCTCCAGTGACTGCTTGTCAGTGCATATGTTAGCGAGAATTTTATCCTACGAAAAGCATGCAAACACGAGTGGCGAGTTAGAATTAGGAAGACATTAGTAGGGACTGCTTTAAAATTAGTGGGTTAGAAAAGAAAAGAGAGAAAGAAAGAAAGGGAAAGCAAGACAAATACAAGATAAAAACGACTAGACAAACAGACTAGGGAAGACATTAGCACTAGAGCAGGTCTGATGAGACAACAACAAACAGTGCCACGTCTTACAATTTCTGCACTCCAGTCGAGATATCCTGGGTAGTCGGCCTCCGAAGAGTCGGCCGAGATGACTGACTTTGGACGGCGTCGGTTGTTATCGTAATAGTTGGCCCCTCTCGTGGAGACATGAGCGGAGCCGGCGACCGAGTCTCCTGCACGCAAGCAATGGTACGGTGATCCATTGGGAAAGACCTTCGAAGAATCGCCGCAGTACAACTCGTGCGCCGAAATGCTAAAGTGAGCAGAAGCAGCAGCAGAAGCGGTGGAGGCTGGTGCCGGTAGTGGGTAGTTCTTTGAGATAGGCGCTGAAGACGCAGCAGAAGAGGAAGAATAGACCAGAGAGCTGCCGCCACCACCTGCACTTGTGGCTGAGGTAGGTCTGGTGAATGTGGGCCTGGGCACCAGTGGCTCGTCCATTCGTGCTGTTCGGCTGGTCGAGCCAACAAGTGGTGATGCATACGGCCGAACGCTTTCTTTGCCTCTCATTCCAAATGGCACAGAGTGTAGATCACTCTCTCTGTTCCATCCCCGGTACTCGGAGGCCAGTCGACGAGGAGAGGCAGTCAGCTCCGAGCTGGCACACTCTAAGTCGTAGTACCGCGAGGAAGAAGACGACGCCTTCCTCAACTGACCGTCCGAGTACTGAGAGACTGAGCCAAAGGCAGAGAAGGCAGCGGCAGCCGGCGAATGGTTCATTCTGCGCGAGGGTGACAAAAGGTTGGATTCACTTCGCTGCCGGTGATGCTGGCTGAAGTGCTTGTGACGCGAATGGTCCGACTGATGGAGTCGAACACATGGATTGAAAGTGATAGAGTTAGAGCAACAAGGTTAGGTTAGTTTGGTTAGTCGTTAGTACAGTTAGGGTGAAACGATATGAACAAAGGGACAAACGGAAAATAAAAGAACAAAACGCATATATGAGTAGCAAACAGTATATTACCTTGTGTTGAACTGACGATGAATCGAGTGGTAATGTTTGCCTACAAAAACAAGATGCAAATAGTTAGAGTACGGTGAATGCAGTGAGTGAGACAATTAATGTAGAGTCAAGTTGAAGCATTAAGATGTGCTTACTGAGAGGAATAGAGATGTAAAGCTTTGTCGTATGCCGTCAGAGAATCCATGTGACCTCTGCAATGGACGTCAGAGCAAGACAACAGGCAGAAGGATGGCAAGCATGAAGTAGGTAGCGTGCAATGAAATGATTAATATTTGCCAAGTGGTTAGGGGAAAGTAAGAATGGTCAATCATTCAGCAATTGTCGCCAATAAGAGAGTGAGAGAAGCGCAAGGTGGATAAAGAAAAGTAGAAATTGCAAGCGATTAATTAGCAAGGGTAACTTGTTATGGGCAAGGCAACACACAAACCTTTGCAGAAGCTCCTCGTCGACAATCTCCAGTAATGACCTGCAAAAGGAGAACATTAGTTCAGTTAAAAAATATGAAAGTTGTATAAGAGCATTAGTGATAAACAAGAAAATAATGCAAAAAAGTTTTGAATAAATCTACAAACCTTCTTCTAAGCAAAACATCACTACGAATTGGAACCGCATTGAAGGAGATAGATGGAGATAGGTGAAGTGAAAGAAAAAGATAAAGAATGCATTTAGAAGGATTTTTGAGAGACAGACACAAAGCACAGCAAAAAAGAGAGGCATGCTAGAGGAAATTAAGATCCCTAAAACTATAAAAACTAGCTACAAAAATGCACAAAAGCGAATTCCCAAACTGGAAGGACTTACTTTCGTCCACAGTTGCCGGTTTCATTGCTCTTCGAAGATGAAGATGGGAGTATATCACAGTTTACATTCAAGTAGGAGCTCTTGCCACTAGAACTCGAATCAACGGCCGACTGCTGCCTCTCAGAGGGCCCCTCGAGATCGGCCACTTGGTGATGACTGGCTGATGAGGACGCAAGTGGTGCTGGTGCATTGCTGGGCCTGGATGCCACCAGTGGAGCCGGCGTGGAATACTGACGGACCGAATGCAGTGCCAGCTGCGATGGGGAGACGCTGCTGGCGCTGTTACTGCTGGTGCTGGCGGAATGAGCGTAAGCGGAAGAGACCGAGGCGGAGGGATCGTTGGACTGCTGCAGTGCCCAAGACACTTCGGAGGCGGCTGCTGATTCATTCCGAGTATTGCTCGCTTGGTTTGCTGCACTTGACATCTCAGGCACATACTATCCAGTGGGAAAGCAGAAGGATAAAAGGGGGAAATTGAGAATATAAAAAGAATCGTTAGTTCGCTTTCCTCATCGTCTGAAAAAGCTTTACTTCTGAATGCTTCTGAACAAAAAATTTAGACTTCGGAGATTTGACTCGTACCGAACGTTTAGAAGATATCCTTTGTGGAGGGAGGTACTGCGAGGCTTCCTCAAACGCCTCCTCCTCCTCATCATCACCAGTGGGTGACACTTGGTAACTTTGTGGATTGTTTAGTCGCTCCAGAAGCTCCTTCATCAGCTCCTTGTGGAGCTCTGGCCTTGGAAAGACGAATCGATGCAGCAGCAGTCTCTCAGCATTAGGTCGTTTCTTTGGATTTTTCGTTAAAGCCAACTTGACAAAATTGTGAAACTCCAGCGACCACCGCGATTTGTCCTTTAACGTGGGAGGCTTGAAGCCCGACTTTGACATGAGAAAGAGGGCTCGCATTGGATGCAGGTCAAACATGGGTGGCTGCAGTTCGGCCAGCTCGATGGCGGTAATGCCAATGGCCCAGATGTCACACTGGTGATTGTAGCCGCCCTTTCGCTCCACCGCCGCCACTTCCGGTGCCATCCAGTAGGGGGTGCCGATGAAGGACTTTCGCTTGCTCATTGTTGCCGTGATCTGGGCAGAAACGCCAAAATCAGCCAACTTGACGTCGCCGTCTTCGGTGAGCAAAATGTTGGCCCCCTTGATGTCTCGGTGGATTTTCCCCACGTGATGCAGGTAGTGAATTCCTTTCAGAGTCTCACGAATAACGTAGGCAATCTGGTCTTCCGCTGGAAGGTAAAAAACAATACAGTTAGTTGAGCTCAGTACAAAATTAATCATAGAAAGCTTGTCTTACTTAGCGGCCCCGTGCAGTGGTAAATGTCTTGCAGCGAGCCACCGCCACAGAACTCCATGCATATCCACAGTTTATCACGGCGGAGATAGGACCCAAAGAATCTAACAATATTTGGGTGTAAACAGTCCTTCATCATTCGAATCTCCTGCTGTATTATACTGAAATCATCGCCAGGTTCCAGTTTTATAATCTTCACGGCAGCCGTTTCCCCGGTAAGAAGACGTTTCGCCTAGATTTTCCAATGTTTAGTTGTCGAACAGAATGAGAGTAGAAATAACAACAACAGTTCTCTACTTTACCTTGTAGACGTCGCCATAGGTACCAGAGCCGACCCTGCTTATAAGGTCATACTCTTCTTGTGGATTGCGCCGAGAGATGTCCAACTGGTGACCATTAGACGTAGATGAGCTAGAGGTGGAAGGCGAATAGGAGATGGCCATCGTATTGCGAGCAGTTCAGCGATGAAAGCTTAAAAATAATATAACAAAGTTTGGTAATGTTGCTTGAACAAAGCAAGTTGAGCTAGTTGCGAGTTGGGTCGATGAGATGGTGAATGGAGGACGTTGGTCTAAAGGGTGAAGCTTCAGTTAGGGGCTGCAATGAAAGTTGAACTGAATGATTGCACAAAAACATTGTGTTTTGAAGGCGTTATGGCTGTAGCACAAACGATGAGCGACGATCACAGACAAATTCACACATAACAAGGAGCTAGCTAGTCTTTCACAATAACGCAGAGAAATGTTTGGGTCCAAAGACGGAGAATGCTGTCCTATCTTTACTTCCTCAAGGTCCCTAGCGACAAGTGATATCAGAAATGACGTAAGGGAGCTGGCAAGTACCACAGATGCTTGCTTGCACAATCAACATTTTTTTAGCTTTTTCATTTGATGTAGCTAATAAGTAGCTTATGAGCTGAACAGACCTAAACAAAGAAAAAACGCCGTCAGTTGATATGTAACAGTGCTTTCAAACGTGCATTTAGACAAACCGATCTGTTTTAGTGATTATGACTCAGTCCGCATTGAATGCGCCAAACGCTTTGAAGCTGATAAGGAGAGGAATGCCAACAACTTGATGTAAACTGTAAAACACAAAGTAAATCATCATTAGTGGTGAATGGCAAAACAAATCAACGCAAGCAAAGTTAAAAAGGTACATATTCTGATGTTAGTTAATATTCCTGTAGAGAAGGTAGGGCTGTGTTGACTGAACGGAGGCATAAAATCAGTCCGCACTGAGAAGCACTCAACTAGTATTGGGTAGTGTCAATGCGGCGGGGAGGCATGAAAGAGTAGACGGAAGACAGGAGACGAAATATATCGGTCGAAGTGTTGCAGTGTCGATGTAAACACAGACAGTCGTAGAAGAGTTGCGGTCGACTGTTGGGGGACTCAGTATGGCAGGCGCAGCGAATGCCAAGTGGATGACAGGAATTGGCGCACTGATGTGGGGGAATTGCTGAGATGCTTCAATTGGCTGCTGCTGCTGCTGTCGACGGCACAATATTGCTACAGCTTGCACAGTAGGCAATGACAGTGGGAAAGAAGACACTGATAAGGAGGAGAAAGACACGATTCTGCTGATGGCGGCAGTAATATGGACCAGTGCAGATGAGGGAGCACCAAAGTGCCAAAGTAATCAAGACCACAGATGCACTTGCTTACACACTTATTTAGCTCCACACATCTTCGACTCGGGAAATTAGATGGTCGGTCGATCGACTGGCTGGCTCAGTGTGTTTGCTTGCGAGGTACTCCACTCGAGTTACGATTCATTGATTGCACATTACGTGAAGCCGCCGCCGCCGCCGTATTGTGTCATGTGTTGTTCGGTGTGTTGTGTGTCTCACAATAAAGCGCGTCGCATCTTCTTCATCTTCTTTTGTGTCAGCCCAGTAGTTGGCCTGTGTGATTGCTTTTGGCTACTGGTAAAAAAGAGTTTTCTGCTCCTTCTTCACGCTCGGTGCAGCAGGGCGCCAAGCACCATGAGACACAAACCAGCCAAGTGTGATGGCCGCGGCTCTCCAAAGGAGAAGACTATAGCATTTCACCAGTGTGCGATATGAGGCAATGGCAGACACTTTTTGAAGTATAATAATCAGTGACTAGAAGAGCATCGCCGTCATCAAAATATCGCTTGACGATTGGTCGTATGTGACTGTCTGGGTAGAGTGTCGCCTCTGCCTCCACGTACTTGCTGTGTCGGTGAGAACTTCGCCAGAGGTTGTGTATCACCCACGGCGAGCGAGGTGATCTAGGGCAAATGGCAAATACCGGACAACGGATACGGTGGTGGTGACAGTGGTCGCGGCTTCGGGGATACTCACTGGCTCGAGGTGCGCTTCGTAGCAGCAGCCAGTGGGTTGTCTGGTTGTCTGGTAGTGCTGGTTGTGCCCCTATTTGATGTGTAATTAACTTCAATTATCACCAGCCGATGCTGATGTCGTGCGTGTAATGTGATTGTCTGGCTCATCGGTCGGTGATCGACACAATGTGGGGCCTGGCCAAGCAGCAAGAAATGCAAACAAAAGCCCGTAAATGGTGATAACGAGAACACAGGCTCAATACTACTCACTTCCAGATCAACTTACAATAAACTGTCGCTTTTTATTCATGCGTTTTGGATTGGTTTTGTCGGTTCCTTCAGAATGTATAAAGAGTAGTGGTTTACAGTATGCAATCTATACGGCAACTATTTGCAAAAACTTTTCAGCAAGTAGTTCCGATTTCTTGTTGATTGTGTTGACAAATATGTTAACAGAGAGGCGCGATCTCTGCTTTGGCACAACACTGCAATATAAAACTCAACCTAATCCTTATCGTTCAAACACACTAACTCACAGTCATACTTAACTCAAACTGTTTGCTCAAATAACACACCCAAGTCAAAATAACTGAAAAGCAAACTATGAATTCTTAAACGTTTTTTATGATTTGGCCTGTGCAGGTAGAATGTAAATTGGTGCTTACTTGGTGCAAGGTAACGATGACGATGGTATGGCCATTTAGATGGCCGGCTGATGGCTGGGTGTTTGTTGCTATCACTAATCGTTTTGCTCGATGTTTGTTGTTGTTGTTGCTGCTAGTGCTGCAGTTGCTGATTACAAGTCGTCGATGTTGACGTCGGCGTTAGACTGCCCAGTCCGGGCAGTTTAGTACGACTCTGCCCAGTCACGAGACTGGAGATCGATGGTGCTCAGTGATAAATTACATTCGAAGGGATTCAAATTACTTCAAAGGCTGAGGAAAGCGACCAGATTAGGGAGAGGGAGAGAGTGGATGATTCCAAGAGCAACATCAAAACAACATCAGTTTGACTGCTGGCACTAGAAGCGCCACTGCGCTGAAGGCGCCACCGGTTTCAGCGGATCCTCTGAACTCGCCAGCTACTCGCTCGCCTACTTTTGCCAGCAGTCTGTCAGCTGAGAGCGAGGTCAACTTCATTACCGCGGCCACTGGCCCATTCTCTTATCGCCCCCTTGTCTGCCACCGTTTTGCGCCATTTGCCGGCGTTGACAATAATTGCTCCCATTAGTACCTCAGTGAGGAAAAGGTTACTCTCCAACAGCTCAGCAGCAATCCCCTACCTATCTCTACTCCCGTTGATGCGCGGCCTGAACTGCCGATCTTGGACGACAGGTTGCGCCAAACTCTTCGTCATTCTCTTTATGAGCGGGATCAAACCAAAAGTTGGCCGAGAAGCGTGTGATTGTTGTCGCGCCTCAATTTGAAGCCGCAAAAGCCGCTCCGAACTCCCAACCTTGGCTCGACTTTTTTCTGTTTAATATCAGATCCAACAATGTCAGACGTCATCTTTGAGGACATCTTCGACGTGAAGGACATCGACCCTGATGGAAAGAAGTTTGACCGGTGCAGTCGGCTGCACTGTGAGTCAGAGTCATTTAAGATGGACCTCATTTTGGACGTAAACACGCAGATCTACCCGATGGACTTTGGCGACAAGTTTCGCCTGCAAATCGCCTCGACACTAAATGAAGAGGGCTATCCCGACGACGCCGAGTGGAACCCTCGCGATGATACGCCCAACCGGAGTGACAGCTTTGACTACGTGATGTACGGCAAGATTTACCGCATTGAAGGCGACGAGAGCTCGGCTGAAACACTGCGAATGGGCGCTTATGCTTCCTTTGGAGGACTTCTCATGCGCCTGCAGGGGGACTCAAACAACTTGCACAGCTTTGAAGTGGACAAAAACATATACCTTTTGATGAAAAAGCTCAAGTTTTAACGTTCATCGATCATTTGATCGCAAACACTCTCTCCCCCTTTAACTCACACATGCCTGTACAGACCACGCCACATTACTCAAATCACGTATCATAAAGCACTTTTCAAAATTGCATAAGCACAGTACAACTTTGTACAACTGTGGAAAGAATTTATTTGCTTAATAGTTGAAATAGTCGTTGATGCGAAAGAGATGTGCCGTGCCCTTGCCGGTGGCCCAGGCGGCGAAACCGCTGTGCGGCGAAATGGCAATGTCGTAGATGCGGCCGTAGGTCTTTCCGCTGTGTCCGCCGACGTAGGCGGGAAAGTTTTTGTACACTCGACCGACGCAAGTGTTAACAAAGCGAATGGCGTCGTCCTTGTTCCCGGAGGCCATCATCAGCAGCTGGCCGTCGTGATTGAAGCGCAGCGAGGTGACCGCCGTCGTCAGATTGGACACCGACTTGATCGGCTGCGGTTCGGCCTTCTTCACAATGTCCTCCAGGTTGTACAGGTTCACGTAGCCCATGTTGGAGCCGATCGCGCAGAGACTGGAGCTGACCGCCAGACTAGTCGCCTCAACCGTGCCCAGATCAGTGAAGCGATTGACACAGCCACCGCCACCACCGGAGCGAATGTTGCGAATGTCCCAGACGTAGGCCTGGCAGCCGTTGCCCTTGCCGTGCGACACCAGGTACCGAGAGTCGGGACTGAAGGCCAGACAGTCGACGTCTCCGTTCATCTTCAACTCGGCAATGTGCTCCTTGCTGCCCGCCGAAAGAATGTTGATCTGCCCGTTGTTGTCACAGGCAGCCAGGTACTGCGAGTCCGGGGACAGTTGAAAGCCGCGCAGAGAGTACCGCTGATGGCCGCCCTTCTCCAGCTTGATTCGCACTATTTTGCCGGCAATCATGTCGTAGTAGTAGCAAAGACCAATGGAGTTGGGCGAAGAGCCATCAGAGCCGACGATGATCTCCTCGCGGCCATTCGAAGAGAGAAATTTGGCGTCACAGAGGCGGTATCCTTTGAGGTAAATCGACTGCAGAATGGCGTTCTCCTCGCCGTCCACTTGAAAGAGACGAACGAGGCCAACGCGAGAGCCGACCAGAGCGACAGTGGAGTTGGGGTGAAAGTTGATGCAGTTGAGTGCCGTCTTGACGCGACTCGAGTAATTCAGGTGAGTACACCTCTTCAGACGCAGAAATTCACGATCAAGCTCCTGAACGGTGCTCCTTTGTTGGCTGTAATCTCGAGCCGTTCGCTCCATCCTGTTCAGCTCATCATCATCGTCCGAATCGCCGCTTTCATCAGACTCGGACACCGATCCGTGAGGACGCTTTTTCTTTTTATCCTTCTTTTCCAGTGCTTTCTGCGCCCATGATGGCGGCTCAAAGACGGCAGTGAATTTGCTCTCCAAGTACTCTTTGTAATGATCATCTGAATTCACTCGTTTCGGGTACTTCTTCTTGTCAAACATCTCCTCAGCTTTGATTTCATCGTCCTCGTCTTCCCAAGCAGGCTTCTTTTCGGTTGCTTCCTCCTCAGTCAGTTCTGACTTTGGCCTTTCTGAAGAGAAAAACTCATCATCGTCGCTTAGCTCGTAAAGAATGTTCTTTTTCCGGTTGGTTCCACTAGTTTGTGGGTATTGGTGGTCATCGTCAGCAAGAAGATTGCTGTCCCCTGCTTTGTCAACGATGAACAGTTGATTTTGCAGTTCATCGGCATTGTTTACTTTTCCAGCACTGTCTTTTGAGGTGTCTACGGAGATTAGATCCACATTTTGATCAATACGACTGATGATATCACTTCGATCTCCAAAAATAATGTTCTCAAGTAGCTTTTCTTCCTCTTCATCATACTTTTTCTGCTTCAACTTGCGCTTTTTCGGCTGCCTCGCTCCTCTCGATGTAGACTGCTTTTGCTGTGGATCTCTGGACTCAAATCTGCTCAGCTGGTTCAGCACATCGTCGTCGGTGTTCTGAAGGCCACCGCCCATAGTCGGCTCGAGTAGAGGCCTACTTTTAGTCTTCATGTTGTCTTGAATTGCTCAGGAAAATCGTAAACAAATCTGCAGCATCAACTCACAGAACCAAGCCACGTGCCTTTTCAAAAAACGCCAATTTACACAGTGCAAACACAGCGTATAAAGGTGGCGCTAGGAGCGCCCAAAAGAAGTGAACACAGAAATAGCTGCAGGTAATTTACAGACAATAGCAGGTGTTTTAATGATCAAGTTCAAATTATTCTTATTGTTAGAGAATTATCGTTAGTTTTCCTCCCAGCGTGAACTACTAAGCAGGCTCACTTCATGTCATCTTCGCTGTCAATGCTCTGTTTGATGCGAAGAAGCAGATTACTGAACCAGCTGTCCAGAGGGGAAATGGAATCGTAGTCGGCCACGGCAGCGGTGAAACCGTCGGTGTCGCGTTCTTCAATCTTCTGCAGCAGTGCTGTCACCAGTTTGCACTCTCGAGACTCGGTGAAGCGAGGAAACGCATCCTCGTACTTTTTGATGGAAATGGAGCAATCGACCGGGTCGATGCACAGGTGGCAGAGAGCAGCACGAAAGAAGTGCTCCTTGGCGGAATACTTCAGCAGCGGTGATTCAATGCAGGAATGTCCAACTCGCTCGTATATTTCAGCAGACTAGATTAGAGAACAACAGACAGCAGTTGTTTACTAATGCTGATCTGACGACAATTACAGTGCCTACCTTTAGGAAGTCTCCGTTTAGAGCCGAGTATTGAGCTACCTTCAGTAGGCATCGGTTTGCACTGGCCTTTGACTCTTCTCCCTGGTAGTAGTCGGCGGCGGTCTGGTAGTGCAGAACGGTTTTCTCAAAGTCGACCAGATCGCTCTCGTAAATCTCGGCGATGGATATGTGGTGCTTTGCAGCGGTAGTGAACCGCCCCATGTCCTGGAACAACTCGATCGTCTTCTCCAGACACTTGATAGCCCTACTTGGATCCACTTTTTTGAAGCAGTTTGCTGCATCGACGTAGAGCGTTCCACCATCGTGCTTGTTGTTTTGCTGCAGGTGAAGATCGGCGGCTTTCACAAATGCATTTCCAGCCTCTGAAGATGAAGGAAACGAGAAGGTTTCGCTAGTTTTAACAAACAACCTGTATCTTTGGCCCTGTTACTTACTGCTCCAAGATTTTGCAATTTTATAAGAGTTTGCTCCGCGTACGCAGAGATCAATAGCTTCATCTACTTTAGATCCACCTCTATTGAGAAAGAAACGATCGATTATTAGTAATCAGCAAAACTTTCAAGGTTAAGTGAGACGTACGAGAAAATGGAGAAGAATCCGCTCCCTCCTTTGAGCTTCTTGTCGGCATCTTCCAAAAACTGATCGCCTTTTTGTTCGTGATCAACCATTTTTCTGGTTCTCCGTTTGGTCGTTCTTCTCTGTGATTACAAAAAGTGCTAATTAGAAATGCTGATGATAGGTACACAAAGGAGAGAGGATGTTTTGACAGCAGTACACAAACAACGCAGCAAATAAAACTCGTGAGTCATTGGGAGCATTATATAGCTACAGTTGGGTTGCTGAGATTTATTGCACAGAAAAAAGACTGTCAAATTACCTAAATTACCTATAAAGTCGATGCAAGGATGTTGAGGGCAATGGTTGAAATGGTCAAAGTATGCGCGGCGAGCTGACTCTGAAATGAATTTGGAGACTTGGCGACGAGACGACGATGAGACCCGCAGTGGTGGCACGATGCAGAGAGTTTGTTTTTGCTCGAAAGAGCGAGTTAGCATCGACGGGAGCGACTCACCGTGTGAGGAGTTTCCACGCAAACATGTGTGCAAGGCAGTGGCGCACCGCAAGACACAGTCACTGTGGGGTTGATAAACTCAACTTGAGTGGGCTAGTGTGCCAGCAGGGACCGGTAAATCAGCTGCCTAATCTGATTTGCACTCTCAGGTGCCTTTTCCATTGTTAGCTGCAGTCATCTGTAGTAAGCTGACAGCAGACTTTCCAAATAACACCAAATCTTTTTTACTTCAGAGTTTTTAAGCTTAGCAATTTTTGCTACTCATACCGGCGTTTATTACAGTTATAAGCTTTAAATCATTTCAGTGAAAAAAGGCTCGACGGGTATCCCCCCAAGGCTTAAAAGGGTAACAGTGTTTTACCTTAACATTTATGTATTGTACAGTTTATTTATTTAAATATTATTAAAAGTGAAATACCATAACCGCTAATAAACTACCATTCTGCATCGCCAACGGCCTTCTGAAATACATAGTCTTTTCCGTGAAGGTTCATGATTCCATCTTTAAAATGGAACTTCCACTTGTTACGACTTCGGGTGATCTACAAATAGTGTTGATATATCAGTTATTGAAAAAGAAACTCATCGCCAACGCTCACCTTGTCGTACTGACAGACGACCACATTATCAGTGTCAAATAATTCATTGGGATCCTCGTCGCTGACATCATCGCCAGAGTTGAGCGGCTCCTGTTCCAAAAAATGCAAAAGTAGTTTCAGTAAACAGTAAAGAGCAGTAGCAATCGGTACCTCATCTTCAATTCCACCGTCGTTTTCCTCGTCGTTCATCTCATCGTCATTATCATCGTCGTCATTGTCTCGGTATTCGTCCTCGTCATCATCATCACTGCTGGAGTCGTCATTGTGGCCGTCCAGCTGAGCAACGCGAGCGTTGGCGACTGCATTTGGCGCTTGGCCTGGTGTTTGGCCGACCACCTGTCCTGGTACAAAGCCAATAGTTGCCTGTTGCGATATTGGAGCAGCCGCACGAGCAGCGTACTGTATCGTACTGGGGAGACCTGACGATAAAAAAAGACAATGTTTTACAAAAACTAAACTGATTTAAATAAAATGCACAAACCTTGAGGAAGCAGAGGTTGCCCGGCTGTAAGATTGAAAGCGTTGTTTGAGACACCTTGAAAGCCCATTTGACTCAGCATTTCTTGTGTCAAAACATAGCTTGTAGCTTGAGGATTTCCTGGCATTCCCTGAAAATCGATGATAATAATGAATTGTATAAAACGATTAAATACCGGATTTGCTTACCATCACAAAAGAACCGCTATGTTGGGGTAATAAAACCATTTTTTGACCAGTTGCAGAGTTGACAAGTGCTGGATATTTGTTAATTTCCTGCTGTAAATAAAAGAAAACATTATAACACTAACTCTTGAAAAACTGGTTTAAACTGGGCTACATTGCGGTCAGCAAAGGCAGAAGAAAGAATGCGCTTTTTATGGCCATGTGGTGCAGAAGTGAGGAGCCTAGCAGTGCCCATAGTTAGAGATGTAGAGTTAGTGGCAGAAGGTAAGGAAGAACCAGAAACCCCCGAAGCAGAGCTGACAATAACCGGGGACAAGGAGGAAGAGGGCGAATTATAAGTTACAATTGCCGGCCGATCAGAACTAGTTGCTGCAGTGCCCATTGGTTGGTCATTTTGCTGCGAATCATCCTTAACTCGCCCGACGGGGCTGTTGTTTGAAGGACCGTTCTTCACATGGTTTGGATTAGATTTGATCACACTTGTCTGTCCTCCAGCAGCTGATGAACTCGAAGTAGCCCCAGAAGCAGCGGCAGCATTTAATGAATTTGAAGTAGCCGCTGACGTTGAATTCGAAGAGGCGGCTGCGATTGCGGCCGCTGCAGCCGCCGCCGCTGCTGCAGCAGATTTTTTGGAGTTATTTGATTTACTGTTTGTCGTGGTAGTGCTCGGCTGAGCAACAGTGGGGTGATCGGTTGCTTTCGTTTCGGCAATCTTTTCCTCCCAAAGCTTCTTGAGCTCTTGAATCACCTGTTCATCGACTCCGTCGTCAAGGAATAATTCGCGCACATTACTAACGACGTCATCGATGACGCTTTTATAGAACTTGGGCTGTTGAAAGGAAGAAAGAAAAAGAAACATTTGAGAATTAAAAAGGTAAAAAGGCAAGGTTTATAGCTATCCGAGCACAATGGGGTTACTTACAACAAAGTCTTGACAGTGAGGAGGTCGGGGCTTGAGAAAAGCATCCATCGCTGGGCCTAGGGAATGCAGTTGACATGAAGTGCTGAGGCACACAGAGACAGACACACACTCGCACACTCAAACACACAGGACAAATGATGCTTGAAGTCGTCCAGGCGCAGAGGCAACGTTGTTTAGCGCTGTTTGAAGGCACCAAACAGAGGCGCTCAGAACAGAGGCGGAGCTACTCACCAGTCGTTGCCAGTTTTCCCCGTTCACTTTCACTGTAGAGAGAGGGGCAGCACCGTCTAGTGCAGTCAACAGTAGGACGCGCAAGCGTTGGAGCAACTTTTTGCGCGAATGGGCGGGAAGATGCAACTTACTGCAGGTGGGCACTACTGATGCTTTGTTGACAAAGCCGCCTCATCTCTCTCCCTCTTCAGTCCTCATCGCCGGCGCCCTCGACGCCGCAGCAGTCTCCAAGGCCCGGCAATGGACTCATTTCTGCAGTCTCGATCCTCCCCCGCGTCAAGTGGCTCAAACCGGGACATCTTTTACTGTGAAAACTACTTTGACATGGACGATATACTGTCACAGTCAACTCGAGTTGCAGTCACCTTCAATAGAACGATACCAAAGTTGGGGTTCCTTGACCCCGGGGCAGAAGATGATAACTTGGTTAAGGGAACGAAGTTAGGTATGTTGTTTAATGCTCTTTCCCAGCTCAAGCTCTTTACATCTTTCTTACGTAGAGTTACCCCTTTGGATTGTTAAAGAATTGAACGCAGATCAAGTGGTTAATGTGACCATTCCAAAGGGCTTCAATCACACGTATCGGGAAATTCTTGAGGCGGATGCAAATTGCGTCAACCTTAATAAACTGGGTCCAAACTTTTACCAATTAGGGCAGCACCTCTCGACAATGAACCTACCTGAAAGTGAAGATGTTGCCAAAAGCCTTATTGACACTTATACGCAAAGATTTCATCGCCTGATCAACTTTGCATTGAGCGGGAGTAACGTAGGTGGGCCTAATGAGTCAACTACTGGTTCTAGCTTAAAAACTTCCAAAAGTTCTGCTGCCAATTCCAAAAAAGCTACTTCAGCCGGTGATGACATTAACACGTTGCCAGAGATGCTAAACTACACAAATGCTCTTGACAACTGGGAGAAGGATCTACTGAAGGAAGGTCAAAATACAGCGAGTCAACTGAAGCGGTGGCAAAATCGCGACTTGACCAAGGTGAAGGCTAACGAAATGGTGGCGAATTTGCATAAAAGAAAGCGACTCGTCGATCAGCATATACAGCAACAGGCGCTAAACGGCCACTCTTCACCCCTTCCATCAGGCAGCTCTGGGCCACAGTCCGCTTTTAAGTGACAAACAAATGCAAGGTTATTGATTTTATTGTACATATTGCTGTCACTGTACAGCAGCAAGCACTACTTTTCATCCGCACTAGGTCTGATTATTTTAATTTCCAATTATTTTTTAAGTTTGTTTTCTAATTAAAATGTGGTTTTTTAAAATGCCAAACAACACTGCATACCTTATTGAATTCGTGTTTAGTTTGGTGATTTATTTATTGCCCTGGGTGGAGGAAAAAATTCACACACTCACAGTGAAGTGCTCGACAAGAAGGGACAGCCAAATTGATAGAACATTCAAAGGGAAAACACACGGCAAAACTTAACAATTGTTTGTGTGAAAGGTGTCATCGTCAAACTGGCAACACTCCCAGCGCACCTCGGAATCAGGCGACAATGGCATTGCAGGTGTCATAGGTCTGCACTGCTCCGGACAGCGAGCCCTTCCGTGAGTTGCCGGCGTCTGGGTTGTTGTTGTTTTGGCACAGTACGGTGCCACAGTGAGTGCCAGAGTGCGCCGATGATGATGATGCTGCTGCTGATCCGCCTTTAGCTGCGGTGAATGAAAATGACCGACGAGCGGCGGCTTTCAGTTTGCTGTTGAGGGTGGAGGTCAGCTGGGCAAAGGCGGTGGCATTGGCGGCAGAGACAGTGCCCAGGGAGTGCTGACCACTTCGGGCTAGGGATCGAAGTGCAGATCGAAGGTACGTCGACTGCTGCTGCTCAGAGGAGGAGGAGGCAGTGATGCCGCAGTTGCTGTTGCTGCTGCTGTACGACTCTGATGGGCAAATGTGGGTGAGGATGTAGTCGGTGAGAAGGGTAGGTACGGTGGGGCTGTCCTCCAGCATTGCTTTCAGTACTAATCAGGGGAGGAAGGAGATTAGAGCTGAACGGAAATTGAGTGCAAGCACTTACTTTTAATGAGCACCTGCAG